TCACTCCCTGCTATTCAAAGAAAGGAGTTTAATTAACAAATTCGTTACCCCAAATCATTTATTCGGTGAGACCACGAGGGTAAAATACCTGTTTAAAATTCATGAAATCACTTTCGGCCAAACAGGAAGCCATAGGGTAATTTGCATTTTACCAATGTTAAATGATACTAGATTTTCCTTATCTCTATGGTCTCTATGGTCTCCATTTAAAGACTTACACGTTAACTGTTATTAAGTATGGAAAAGTCTGCTTCATTTAACCTTCGTTGGTTTTCATTCTTTCCGGGGCGTTTCAAGCCTTGCAAACGTTGCAAAACACATTAATTCCTGATCAAAGATGCAGAATAAGCGGTTTCACTTTCGTTATGAAACCGAAGGGTCGAAGAATGAAGGGAGGGTCATGGATAGCTGGGGGACAGGGGGCTTCTTGTGCCACTGCTCATCACAAAAGCACCGGTAGCAGCATGCCAGCATGCCAACACAGGACTTGCTTGCACAGAAGGGTACTTCTGCATGGCAGACGATGAAGCCTTCAAGAATTCCGCGCTCTGACCTGTGTCAGTGACTCAGAAGAAAGTGATGAGGATAGAGAATTACAGAGGTACTTTAAAATAGTTGGCGTTTAAGGCGTCCGTGTTTAAAAGGTTCGCTTTCTGTCGAGTAACGTCAAGATAAGCCACTTTCATGCTCAACAGGTCAAAATTAGTGATGATTTCGCGTCTTCTAGTCTTAAAATGTACCTTACTGAACTATAGTGAGGTGCGAGAATTCGTAAAATATCATCCCTACAATAAATCGGATAAATGATTAAGAACAAGAACAAAATAACAATAACATCGTGTTTTTCGTCCCAGTACGCAACTCACTGAGTTAGAATATGGTAAAAATTAGATATTTCGAAGGATAACACAGATACACGTATAATTTCATTCGTTTGTAACGCAAAAGCGATTGAGGCCTCTTCGGAGTTCATATGCCTAATCACGTGGCCATATTTTGCATTGGTTTAGCATGGCTGGCCCTGTCATAAACAGCTTACGATATATCAGTAGCTGTTCTTCATGAATGCATAAAGAATGGATGTAAACAGTGATTACCTTAGTGAGCCTCGTTTAATATCCAACCGTAAATGGGACGAAAATGGTGCAGTCGAACCTGTGTTCAGCGGTCATTAACGAAGAATGGCGGTATAATCGCTTAATACAGGTGCCACAGAGGTAAGTCATAAAAAAAAGGACAAAAACGCTATTTCATCTGATCATTATCCATGATAGAGGCAAAAGTTACAGCATTTGAGGGAAAAAAATTCTGGACCTGTCGAAATCGACCGTTTGTTACAGGGTACCCGCTTAATACGGTGTCGCGTAATACAGAGCTAAAAAATAACCTGAAATTTGGTTAGAACTGTAGATTGTATGGCCCTTTCATATAAAATAACAGAATACAAATGCACCTTTCACCCATTTATGCTACAGAGGCCGAATAAATGGCGCTCGGTCACGTGACCTCAATTTGCACAACCATGTTTGAGATTCATGTTGTAAAGATGTAACTATGTTTGAAGATTTCCGTGTAGGCAATAATAAGTGTAGGCAATATCAGTTGTTTAATGGCTGCGCCTCGTTTCCATGATTTAAAGGAGTTGCGTATAGATACAGTCCCTTGATATAAAACCTATACAACAAAACAACTTCAAACTACTTGACATTAATCAGCCAGCATTTTTCTATCAAAATCCACTATCATATTTTTTCTCACTCGATCAGTCTACGGAACTCTTTTTGGGGGTCTTGGCTTCCGTCCTACATCCATTATGATGAGATGTTTCAATTCTCTTGGTTTTGACTATGCGCTACAACTGAAACAAGTAAACAAGTCTAGGTCAGGGATTCCAGATTGACTGATACAACTATAAAAACTTAAAAGAAACCGCCTTTTGCTGTGGGCAACGTTGATCATTTCATGCAGAATACCATAGTACACTCGTAGATAGCCATCCGTTCTTTCTGTCACAGCCCAAGGATATAGAACTTTAACTTCCCGAGCAATCACTCCGCAGTCCTCCCCAGTCAGTCCGAAGGTCTTCTGAGCGTTTTCATTCCATTTCCAGCAGACCCCCCTCAGGCCGATATCGTTGAACTCGGAGCAGGAAAGAGTTGTTACATTGTCTTTCAGATCTTCGTCGCTGAAAAAGTAGGCACCTGCGAGGAGTGGGGTTAAATACTTAGCAGCGCTCTTAGCATATTCCCACCAATTTTCTTCTTCTTCTCGTCTTCTTTTTCCTTCCTCTAGTCTCCTTTTTTATTCCATTATTGTCCTTATTACTTCTTCATATCTTGTTCTCTGTTTTTCCAATCTTCTCCATTCTTCCTGTCTTCTTTTTTTCTTCCTCCTCACGCTTTCTTTTCTCTTTCAGCGTACTCATAAGTTCTCCCTCCGCCTTTGCTATCTCGATTGGTAGACTGCATTCCTGTTCAAACTTATGTAAAGCTTTAAACACATTGTCTTCCATTTCTCTCGAGGTCTGCTGCAGTAAGACAGGCTTGATATACTTTTCGTATCTTCTTGTACAAATATACCTTTCTATGACGGCATATACATTTCCGAAATCTTTCCAAGAAACATTAGCACTATTCATTGCTTCAACGAGCTTTTTAGTGAGGACACGAAGTGCTTCACCGTCAATCGGCCTTTAGAAGTATTTTTTACAGGGCTGTCCTTCATCTTCTGCACCAACTTTTCGAACAAATTCCAAGCAGAACTCTTTTTGCAGTTGCTTTAGGTCTCTGAATAATTCGGAGGGATTATCCACCGAAGGGATGTGACTCACTAAAATACGATCTTTTGTAAAGTATTTCTTGATCGTTTTCTCCTTTCCCATGCTCTGCCCGTCAGGATGAAAGATTTTCTGAAGGATATAATCTTCAAGGCTGTCATCATCGGGGACGTCTAGATTTGTCCGTAAAACGATTCGAAGTTTGGGGAAATTATTTGGAATATCTCTTCCTTCGAAGACAAGCTCGCTCAAGCGTACTATGCGATAAAGGAAGTCGATATCTCCGTTTTTCACGACTTGTAGCGCAAATCTATTCAGTCCGGAAGACAACATGGCTGTAAACATACTAAGGCGATCAGTTACACTATCATTTCCTAGATCTGTACCTTCCACATCAAGCAAAAGTATGCTTCCATTTTTTATCGGGATGTCGTATTATGTGCGCCCACACACCACGAGTGACAGGATCCAACGAGGCACCGGATTTAAAAACCTTTTTAATTGCGTTAGATTTTCCCTCTCGACTGATAATAGAACTGAATACGTTTAGGAAGGTTGATTTTCCAACTCGAGCATTTTCAACGGCGGTGATAACTCGGATCGGTCGCTCCATCTGTGATATCTCTTTCAAAACATCAAGGTTCAGCTCAAATGCATTCGGCGAACTTTTGTTATTCACTGAGTGAATACGGTTCGGTTACTATAACGAAGCCCGAATCAGAGAGAAGCGTCCCAAAGGCGATAAGCAGTAAACAAATCATGGTCCACTCCCTGCTGAGTTTGATACACAACTTCGATACCCTGAATTACTTATTCAGGAACACGAAAATCCTTGCGAGCATTCCGAGGAAGGTGAAAATGTTGATCCACCACGTTTTCATTTATACATCAATTTTTTTGATTGAAGTTTGCCATCCTTGTTAAATAGGACCAAGGATCAGTTGAAGTTTCCTGCCCGCGGAGAGGAGATTGCGCTCGAAAGAGTGGATGAGGTTGTTGTCCATGCAAAGCAGCAAATGATAATTGTAACGCAAGCTGTCAGTGTCGCCGACGTTTCTGAAATGAAGTGACTAAACGCCCGGCAGCCGGACACGGTCTTAAAATAACTAAACGTCCGGAAGTCCGATATTTTTCCATATTTCTCTTCGAAATCCAAAAAATATTTCTACGAAAATGTTCTGCCTTTATTTACAATTCTCAAGCGCTTCCAGGCAGCCAAAAATTTCGAACTTGATGTTTTTCGCCAACCCTGTATACAGAGTACAAAGCCATCCAAGCGCTTGACACTCGGAAACTTTTCAATGACACGGCTGGACACGATCCTCAAATAACACCATATTTCTCTTTAAAATAAACCAATTTTCCTTAGAAAATATTCTACCTTTATTTAGAATCCTCAAGCGCTTCTAGAAAGTGAAAGAATTCGAACGCTATCCGTTTCGCCGACTCTGTACACAGAGTACGAAGAGACCAAGCGTGACACTCATCCCAGAGCGTTTCAAGCCTTGCTAACGTTGCAAAAACAAATTCTTATTCAAAGATGCAGTATAAGCGGTTTCACTATCGTTATGAATCCGAAGGGGCGAACTATAAAGGGACTTGGATCGCCAAAGGGTCATGGATGGTTTGGGAACGGGGGACTTCTCGTACCATTGCTCACCACAAAAGCACCGACAGCAGCATGCTTTCTCAAGCCGAAGACGTGCTAATGTAAGACGTCTGCCTGCAAGCGAAAACACAGGACTTCATTGCACAGAAAGGTACTTCTGCACGGCAGACGATGAAGCATTCAAGAACCCCCACGCTCTGACCTGTGTCAGTGACCCAGAAGAGAGAGATTTCCGACCTAACTATATTTCTGACCCTAAGAGCTCAGAAAAAAAAACAGGACAAGGTGGAGATGTCTTAAAGGAAAACGCGAATCATCAAGTTCCAGAGAATATCAGTTGATATTCTTTCGTCAAGTTGTAATTAGTTTATTCAGGAGCCCATTATATGGGCTCCTGGTTTATTTCCACATCTTTTCTGATTGGTGTACATGATGTCATGAGTTTTTTGGACCAATCACAGAGCGATGTAAGGCAAAGTAAATGCAATCCCAGATAACTTTCGACAACCATTAAAATAGAATTGCTCCAATTTGCTGTAGCAGTTTTTACAAACGAGGGTCAAAGACCGCACAATCTTACAATGCTTGGCTTTATTTACCTTTGTTTTTTATCAGGTCACGACTTTCCTGTCGAAGCTTAAGCCAGGGCAAACCCGAGACTGTTGGTACAAGCTGCTCCCGATGCCTCAGTTGAAAGAAATTAAGACGTAAGTCATGCATCATACCAATTAGGGTCTATTTATGTTTTTTTGGACGCGGATCTAAAAACCTGGGTCTAAGTGCATGAAATCGAGGTTCTCTGGTAACTTACTAAACCAAGTCATTCTCCCCCCCCGCCCACTGACACCCCCCCTCCCCCCCAAAAAAAAATTTTAAAACTCTCGGAGGGAGCTTGTGAGAAATAAGGAAAACGCAAAACGAAATAATCAAAACTACGACAGAGAACTTTGTATCCATAAATTTTCAGTAAAAAGCATTATCTCTCAGGATTTATCAGTAAATCTCGCCTTTATATTCCGAAACCAGCTTTCCAGTCTTCCCTCCATGCATATAGAAATTGTGCCAATCGCTTGAGAAGATTTATTTGACTCAACTGTTCGGTCAAGAAACACACACAAATCATGTTCATCACTTTCTAACTCAGTGTTAAGGATTCACTTTCGCGTCTTTCGACAGAGAGAATCTCGGTAGTATCCGAATGAAGGTCCGTCTGACTCAAGAACGCGTCTTACCGCAGAAATGTTACCAGTCTTTAGTAGAGATTCTTGTCAACTCCGCTAAGGACCCGGAGAGCCTGGATCCCACAGCGTTGAGCTTAATAGAACAGCTGACTGCCGCTGACCAAGCAATACTGGCTCACCAGCTTGTTCGTCTGTTTATTGGCCAAGATCTCGTTATACCGTTTCTCGACTATCTGACTCTTCGCGAAATAAGGAATACAAGTATAAGTAATGGCTTTGTACTTTAATTTCTTTATGTGATAAAGACTTTGATAAGAGCATAGGTTATCAAATAGCTGAGAAGGAGTTACTACGAACCCATCGCAACTTCGGCTTTATCCAAAAGCCAGTCCATCGCATAATCCTGCTTCAGGACCAGAGGGGGAAGCTAAGGAAAAAGGGGGGAGGGGTCATTGCCTCCATTTGCCTTACTCTTCTCATGAATCAACTTTTCACGCCCTCAAGTGCTAATAGACAGTAGAGCTCGACTCTCCACCCCCCCCCCCCCCCCCCCCCCCCCCTCCCACCCCTTTGAGGATACAAACAAAAATGAAAAATCTGGAATGTGAATTTCGCGCAAATAGAAGATCTTGAAGAAGTGGGATTCTCTCTCAAGAAACTTTCCTCAGAAGAGTTCACTTGTTTACCAACCACACAACGTTTTTGTTGTTGCTGTTTTCTTGTTTATAGGTTGTCCTAGGACTCTGTTTAGAGGCAACAGTCTGGCAGCCAAGTGTATGGAACAATTCATGAAGGTAATGTAAACAGTGCTCAACTAAACATGAGATGATCAACGAGGAAATATCATCCTAATTTAACAAGCAATCCAGGTGACTAACATCGAAAAATGTATGGTGCTCGGACACGAAATAAATGCATGTTTTAGATGCGAGGTCTCCACAGAGGTTCAGCCACAACTTTACCGTCTATGGTTTTATGGCCTGGATACCTTGCTATCGTTCCTCTTTTCAGTAAAATTTTCTGACTACTGAGGTCTTTTTTCCACTGTAAGATTGTAGGTATGCCATACCTTTCGGAAACATTGAAACCAGTTCTCGACAAGATATTTGAAGAACGCAAATACTGCGAACTCGATCCATGCAAAGCTGCGGAACGGAAACAAAGCGCTCTCAGGTGAGGTATACAAGTCGGTCATTTGAACCAATCATCACTGACAAATAAAAGCCTTTGAAAACTTAGGCTCCACAAACAAACCAATCGGAAGGAATAGTAGAGACACGAGATTAGCAGAACATGTGATTAAAAGGACGCATTTACCTTCCCAGATCGAGATATCAATTATCTGCATTGTCTGCGACACAAGTATTACTATTAGAATAACAGAGATGGCAAGTTTTAAGCTCGGTAAAGACATAGAGAAAAATGTTTTTCGTCTTGTCACGAGCGCGGGATAAAGAAAAAAAAAATTCTGAGTCCTCATAAGGAATCGAACCTCAGACCATCGGATTCCGCGGATTTTTTTTTTTCAATTTTTTTTTTCTCCAAGTATTACTATAATGGCTCAGAGAAGTTGGTGTTTGATTGAGCAGTATTTCTTAACTGACTTGACTTCTCGGTTTACTTACAATTTTATTTGGGAACGTTTGTTTAAGGGAGGAGATGGAAGGAACAGTGGGTGGAGAGGGGAAGGGGGAGATGGATTATTACAAATTTGAAGCTCTAGTGGGGAGGATCGGAGTTCATTCAAGAAGGAACAGGGGTTAATGGAACGCTCATATTCGTTTATGGTAGCCTAAAAAGGATCGAGGATGGTACCAGATGCAGACCATTAACTAGGTACCGTTTCTGAGAAAAAACTCACGGAGACGTTGCTTTTCGTAAAACCCCCTATGAAAATTATAACACCTATGAATTCAGTTTCCTGACCTGTTTGCAGACGCCTAAGCTTGAGGCCAGTTGACGAGCAAGACAAGAGCCTGTCAGTGTTGACCACTTACTTAGAAACAGTCATGATGTCAATCCTGAACTCAGTCAAAGAATGTCCAAGCTACATGCGCGCGGCCTTCAGGAATCTCGCTCGAAGAGTCTCGGATCGCTTTGGTGATATACCTGATTACGAGGTGAATCACCAGAAATGCTTATTTGTAGCTTGATTTCCAGTTTTCACCATAAACCCTTTAAACTTGAACATCAGTATACATATTTTCCATACTATTCACAATACATTTCTATTTCCTTAATTTCCATGACCTCAGTGTTTGCTTCAGCAGTGAAACTTTAAGAAATTGGATGCCAGTCCCTCTAACAAGCTTGTGGTTTTAAAACAATCTCCTAGTAAAGAGATTGGATGGTATGCATTGGTCGTAAAACCAAAATAACCAAAGTAATCATAGCGGCCAATAAGATCATAGAAAATATCACAAGGAGTCAATCAGAGCTCAAAGTTAAGTTCAAGCAACCTGCTGGATGCGCGGCAATATACAAGTGGACAAGTCACTATTGGTTGTAGTTTTGCTTTTGATTGGTTAGGAGGGTGAATTGGAAATTCCTCTATGTGATATAACCAATTCCTAAAATCGCCATCTTTCATCCTGTTGGCCGAAGCCCAAATCTTTCGGGAGAACTAATGAAAATAAAGCGCAAAGTAAAGATGTCAAAGTCCGCAAAACTGAAGATATTTCAGGTAGCGTATATTGACACAGTGTAGCCTGGAAACTAAAGAGGCACGCAAAGACTGCTCCTCAGTCCCCCACAGCCTTGATTTAATCGTAGCTAATACAATCTCAAATGATAGAAATGACTAAATCATTCCTTTTTCAGGACTCTAAGTACACAGCCGTGAGTGGTTTCCTGTTTCTACGATTCTATGTGCCAGCAATACTTGGACCCAAGCTCTTCGGTCTGCGTGAAAACCACGCCGACAAAAATGTATCCCGCACCCTAACCATCCTAGCAAAGGTCAGTATTTAGGAAGAGAAGGACGATGACGACAAATAAGAATGTGTGCCTGTCAAACTTAAGAAGGAGAAGGGGAAAGGGTTGGTTTCATTGATTTGCGAATTTAAGACTTTCCAAATCAGAATTAAGTCACGACGATACAATTTTCTTTAAACGTTCCCGGACAACGTGAATTCTCTTTTGTCGTCAAACCGCAAGAAACATTTCTGATTGTTCTGTTTTGTTTGTTGCCTTTGTTGTTAGACTGTCCAGAAGATTGGCAACATAGAACTCCCTCTTCAAAACGGAAAGGAGGAATGGATGGGACCACTGTACAAGTGGATCGCATTGTACACTGATGAAGTAAAGGACTTCCTGGATCAGCTTGCAGACGTGGAAGATACAGAAGGTATCTATCTTTTGATAGCAGGACATTCGCCATATCCTAACTTTAGTAATAAAAACAGTCTTGACTCGAAGAATGAAACAGTGAAAAAATAACGAATTTTCGATTGGAGGTGGTATGTGAATGACGGCTTAGGCACACTTTGGGCGTATTCCATTGGTCAAAAAATGTAGTCTCCTCTTCACCACCACTCGAAAGGGGAGCAAATCTTCGCGGATGATTCTCTACCTTTAAGGCTCTCCTGGTGTTTCTTTGATTGCTAAATTAAAACTACTTTTGTTTCCTTCTTTTATTCTCTGTCCCCTATAATTTTCAGTTCCAGGTTGTGACCACAGGAGGACCGTATTCAGTCACTCACTGATCATCAAGGAAGGCTCTCTCAAGAAAAGTCGCTACAGGGACACCAGGCTGCCAAAGCCGTTCAAGTTCAAAAAGCGCCATTGTTGGCTCAGCACTGAGAATTTCCTTTACGCCAAAACAAACGATTCACAGGTAACACATTATCAAAGCAAGGCGTTGCATAAGATTACAATAGACCTGTGGTGAGATTTATTTCCAAATATCGGTAAATGGCATCGGAGACACCGCACTCTTATGGCTGACCCAAAAGATGCAGGTGCAATCCCTATCCTCGGTCATGATGTTGTGTTATTATAAAAGACATGTAACCATCGCATTGCCCCCCTCCCCCTCCTACCCCCAAGACTTACACGGGTACCGTCTAATAATCGAAAAAAACCACGACAAGCCTGGAAAGGAGCGAATTGGGGGAGGGGGGAGGCAACTTGACATATAAACCGAGATGCGCTTCAGCAGCTGGTCCGGAATTAGTTTTGTATTAAGACGAAATGTATACGGAAACCAATCAGATGGTATAACTTAGTTCGACGTGATCTCTGCGTTCAACCACTAGCTTCTATCGTAATGGTAATAAATGTATGATGTAACAAAATAAGGGGGGGGGGGTGTGCCACTCCCAGTCTCTGTCTAATTGACCTTTCCACTTCACAGACAAGGCAGTTTCTTCCAACCAGAAAAATTCTTGCCGTGGAACGAGTTGACGAGTCAGCTTTTCAAAAACCCAACGTGTTTCAAGTGGTCAGTAAGGGTTATGATGAAGCTCTGCAAATTCTCTACCTCGCCGCTCAGGTAAATTATACTATCGTCACGTCAGAAACTCATGCAATAATGCAAACTGTGCGTATTCTTCGTGGAAAAATAAACCACGCCTGCCCCGACAGCTTGTATGCTACACAAAGGTTGTTGCTGAGCCCGCAAGCAAGAGCCTCGCTGCAGGCAACAAAAAAGTTGATAACTTTTTACTTTGTCTTCAGGATGTGAACGAAATGAATCAGTGGCTTTCAGCGATAAGGAAGACCACTATTTCTAATACTAATCTGCTCAATTACTTCCATCCGGGAGTCTTTCACAAAAACAAATGGACATGCTGTAAGCGAGTCATCCAATCAGGTCAGTGGATTCAATCACGTGTTTTGTAAAAGGGTTATAAAAACTAATCCAACCTTAGGAAGAGCTCTAGCGGTGAAGCAGGTTGATTATAACCCACCCACATGCCTCACTCGTGCCTTGCAATAAGAAAGTGGGAAAGGCTCGGTTGATTGCGCCTTAATACTTTAAACCCCAGCTTGTGAAGACTAACAAAAAATTTCTACGCCCTGTTTCAGCTGGTGGTTGTCAGCGGACACATACACACGTGACCTTGAGCGACTGGCGAGATCCATTGGACCCAGACTCCGAAGCGCAGATGATTTTTACACAGCTTCTTCAAAGTCGAGACGAGATTCGAAAGAAATTTCTTGGAATTAATGAGCAGCGGAAACATTCTCAAGAATCCTACGACACAGCGAAAGATGAAGAGATATCAGTAAAGGACTCACATACGTCTTCAACAGCCGAAAGAGCTATGGCTACGAAGCTGTTGGAGGTAGTAGATGAACTCGAAAAGGCTCATCAAACATTCGAGGAGAAAGCTATTAGAAAATAAGAGGATTAGATCAAGAGAAAAAGGACTGATTGATAACACTTTGATACATGAAGGAAATTTTCATATGTAAACATACAAGTTATATTTTTTTCAACAAGACTGGTCCAATTCAAAGATTGTTTCTAAGTTGACATGGGTGGTTCAAAAGGGTCATAGCTCACTGATACATGTATACAAAAATAGGATCTTAAAGTTGGTTGCACCCTTGACCACAGGACACTATCTCATTTTGTGGTTGACCACAGGACAATGTGGAATACATTTATGCCGTTAGAAACCCCTTATTTCAGTAAAAAGAACATCTTGTATAGCCCTATTATCAATCTGAAATTCACTAAATAGTTATTTAGTATTAAAATCTTTATTCATAAAATTTTTCACAGCAATATATCCAACAACAAAAGATGCAAACATACAAACAAGTCCAATGAACATCAAAAAGCCTTCTTCACTAAATCTGAACAATTTTCTTTTCTTTCAATACCCAAACTAGTCCTTGTTTTCCTCTACATTAAGTTAAGTTATTTACAAAGAACAAGGAACGTAACTATTGTATAATAAATCCTCAATGCAATGTTTCTGCAAAGACAGAGCCACACTCTAATAGACAGGAGCTGTGTTGGCAAGACGCCTCATTCGTCTGTAAGAGAATTACAGATACAACTCTTACTAAACCATTTCTCTAACAATATCCCTAAAATACGTCAAGAAATTACAAATTGCATTGAATAAAGTACATTTTGTTGATTGCTGTCAAGCTAAACCTAAGGTAATCAAAACTGCCATTCAAAGAGAAAACATGGCAAAGAGCCAATGGAAGGCAAATGGATTACTTTTGTCCAACAAATAGGATAGGTTTTCTTTAATGTTTTGGAATAAGCTGCCAAAATTCTTATAAAAAAAGTTTTTCTTCAACATCTTGAGAGCAGCTGCCGAAATTGTAAGAAAATAAGCCTACTTGTCAATTCAATCCATTGATACATAATTGGTGATGTAACTGTAAGAAAAAAACAAATACAATACAATACAAACCTAGTGTTTCTGTCTTGGTCTCGAAGCTTCTTCTCCATCTCTGCATCAGTCAGAGTCTCCAAGTAAGGACCCCAATTATCAACATCTGTCCCTGATCTTATGGCAGTTTCGACACTTGGGAGGGGTGCCTCACTGAAGGCATATGTTTTTGAATGCCAATTAAGTTGACCACGAATACTGTATGCAATGGCTGTGGCAAACTCACCACCCAGGCCCAGGTCTGAACAGAGGCTTAATGCAAATTCTTCAGGTGAGTTAAGAGGTTCTGACAAGTCCCACTCAAACTGGTCCATTAGGGAAATGTTACCAACATGGATATTAAGCTGTTTGGATGAAATTAACAAAGGAACATGGTCACTCAAAATTGAGACCAGAGGCATGGTTCAGGAGGTGAAGGCTTTCAAATAAGCTGACTGACATCCAATTTCTCCCTGATAAAGAGCTCAGAAGATCTTTGAAGGACCCAGAGAGTGTCTCAATGTCTGAACCAATACCAGAAAAGGGACATGCATGTACTCCTACCAAATTCAACTTTAAAAATCAACCCATCACTAGGCTGTTACTTCATTTGCAAGAGAATTCTTTAAATCAGCAAACTTTCAACTTTAGTTGTGTGTGTGGTTATCATTGCTACAGCTGTTTTTGTAGCTGTTTGGTGCTGAAATTGTAGACACGTGCTGTTCTACTCTTTCACTGTCAATTCTTTGAAACACTTCAACTAAATACAGTTGAACCTCGATTATCCAGACTTATTGGGACTTGATGAAATGGTCTGGATAATCAAGGGTCTGGATAATCAAGAATATGAATGTTAACGAGGAACAAACATTTGTGACGCTGTGTAGCTTGTTTATCTTGCATAACATGCTGAACAAGCTAAGAGAGTGCGAAGCTTCACATAGCAACAAAGCAACTCTAAGCCAATTGGACCTCGGATGTTCTTCATAGGTTACAATGCATATGAGTGCTGCTTTTGCTTTTTGAAAGTGAAACAAACTCGCCTTTACTTCACTTTTCAATGCTATAGTTTTAAAAAGAATATGGCTATGGATCTTGATCAAGACTAATAAATATTCATGACAAAAATGGGACCAGAGAAAAAGTCAAGATAACCAAAAAATTCAGATAATTAAGGTCCAGATAATCAAGGTTTGACTGTACCCAGATTTGACATCACCAACTTCAACTCAGTTGGCAAAAATTCCACTGAAACTGAGAAGTGCAAGGCTGAATAACCCTCTAGTTTTCACACCCTCTGCTTTCCTCTCCATAGGGAAAGAACTTAAGACAAGAAGAGACTGAACAGAGGAATGTCTTGATGAAACACACCAATTCTACATCTCCTATCCCCTCCACACCTGAAGACACACTACAGCAATTCTTACCCTGAGCATCAATTGAATGTTTCATAGAAGTTACATGAACTGTCATGTATTTTATCTTGCTACGACACCTCCTTAAAAAGCTATTGAAATCACCAATTAAGTACACAGAGCTAAGAGATTATACTTTTGACTGCTTTGGTTTAAGACATTACATACAAAGGAATACTGCCTGTACTTGAAAATGAAACAAGTGCTAAGTTGGTGATGCAAGTTTTGTCACATACTAAGGGACAATGAGACAAAAAATGACTTTTTCCTGAGGTCTTTGATTTAATGCTACCCTGAGAAATACAATCACTATAGAAAAAAACTTCTGCTTTTCAACTGCAGTTCTTCCTATAACTCACAGATCTCAAAACTGAGTGCAAAGGGAATTTCCATGACTTAATAGCAGCTGTGATAGTTAAAAAGAACACAAATGGCATATAACAACAATTAGGCCATTTTCAAGTATTCTCAAAGCACAAATACATCTATAACTAGTAGTAATCAAAGATTAATAAGTGCGTTAGAAGTTCAATGAATTTAGCTAAAATCATACAAAAACAGAGGAGGAAATTAGTTGAGAGATTAAATGAGAAAGACGAAGTATTTAAAGAGCAACATGAACAATAGCCGGCTATTGGGCTTAAAATTCGTGCGCGCGCTTAATAATTATTCAAAATGGCGCAGATTTTGAACATCGCCCGTCCAAGTAACCAAAAATCTCGAATCTTCACGCCTGGCATGCACAGGTATCCCATCGACCACAGGATCCCCAAAGATTACGAAGCGTTCTCCTAACGTCGAACGCAATAAGTTTTAAGAGCAAAGAATTATCTAAAACTTCCAAGCACCCTACCTTGATAATAACTCTCTGATCTGTTTGTTTGTCCAGGCTTATTTCAGAATCTGAGTCAAACTGTTTGATCTGCTGCCTAATGGCCTGGACAACAGCAGGCACAAAAGCTGCTGCAGGCAAATCAAGATCATCACATAACACTTCTGCAAACACCTCTGGTGAAATTAGTGTCTCTATAGAATGAAAAAACAACAAAGGGCCACCTGAGTGAACAAAACTCAAAAAGTAAAACAGCACAGTCATAAATAGAAGAGTGTGTGTAACATTAAAGATTTCAACATGACCTTTGGAGGGAAGCTTGAATAATAATTTTAAAAAAAACAGCAAAGTTATCAAAATGCATCAGATATATTTTTTTCTTGTGACATAATCAAATTGAAGCAAAGTGACAGACATGGTTGTATGAGTGCTGAAAGCACTTATCCAACTTCATTCAATAAGTGTTTGTACCTTTGCTCACTTCACACAGAAAACCACATAGACTATGCAACTTGTTACCCTACACTATCCTCACTTCCACAAAAAGGTAATTTTTTCCTTTTTGCCTTTGAAATGTTCATACAAAAACAATGTACTAAACAAAATTTAGGCATCTAAGAAGGACTAAAACTGAACAACCAATAGCACAATCTTTTGTGACAGTGTATGTGTCACATCAACAACTTCAACATGAAGTTAGATGGGAAGATTTAATACTTGTATCAACTTGCATTTGTCTCGCCATGACTTTGCGTGCAACTCCATCAAGTGGGTCTCCATGAAACAGTTGAGAAGGGTTTTCTCCCTACTGATTACCAATTTCAGAAAAGAAATTGCAGGTAGTTGTTCGTAAGGCTAGGCCACAACTAAAAATCCTTCTCAAAGTGGGTATTAATTTTTTTGTTCTGAGGACAATTTTTTGTTGTTCTAAGAGATCAGTCAGGAATACCTTATGAACTCTTCTTGATTTTAAAAACTGTAAGCCTCAGTTCCCTCTGTCATTTTGATCACCCTTACGCAAAGATTATCATGCACTTACCACTCTTGTTCCATGTAAATGTATCCCGAAGTTTTTGTCCATCAATGTCTATGTCCAGCCTGATAGGCACCAACACTTCAGGTTGACTTGCAGCCTCATGGATGGCAGCCATGTCATGGTCGTCATAACTTAAATGCAACAACAAAGCATTACTTGGCATAACATTAAACTGGAATACTCGTGAGAAAGAACTTTTCTACTAAGTGGGTGAAAGGCAACCAATGTTATCAAGAGGCACCCAAAATACAACACTATCTTGTAATCAGCTGTTGTTTGTTTATCAACAGTGGTGTTAGTTTCTCATTTATCTGAAACCATATTCACAACAAATGCCAAGTTCCACTGAAAACAAAATAAAACTAGGAAAAAAATCGACCTCTTTGCTACTATCATCGATTAACCTTGAATAGGTTAAAATTTCGCGACAGAGTTTTCAAACATTTAGTCATTTACCAAGTGGGAAATGTTTTTATCCTTTTGGGTCCTATTCGATTCCTGTTCACTGTAGACGAGCATGGTACAGCATCGAGATGGAAGGAATTACTCGAAAACAATGTTTGTGGTGCCCAAGTCGGCTGATTGCTCCGTTTTGATTTACCACTCGCATTCCTTGACGCTGCATCGGGTGCTTCCGTGGAAACTTTATACTTTTCGTCTTTTCCCTCTAAGATTTCATTCACTTCAGTAGCTTTTAACAAAGTGACATTTGTAGCTATGCTACTGTGTCCTAATCCTAACTGTACAATTTGTTTTCGCTCCTCAAGTGTTGCAAGTCTTCGCCACAAAGAAGGGTACTTTTTGTATAAGGATCCTCTAAACATTCGCAGGAAGTTTCCCACTTCGGATCCGATCATATATTGCTCTCCATCTCCAAGCTGAAAAGAGCTCGGTTTTTGACCATATGTGCGGACCGCCATCTTTCTTTTCTCTCTATCACGTTTACCCACAGTGCTTCGAGAGTTTCAAGTCATACTCAGTATCTCACGGTTGAAACGGCGTTGAACCTCTTCTGATGTTTTTCGTTTTTTACGGTTTGATTTCATTTCGAGTACCATATACTAGTCATTAAAACTCTATTCAATGAGAAAACTCCACAGCGTTAGAGTGTGGCGATTTTCCCTTTTTTTGTCAAACGTTTAAATTCCGAAAACAACCTAGATGGTGCAGTAAAATTTTCAGTGGCTCTTTCACTTAAACAAAACACAAGTTATCGAAGAACTTGGAAAGGGTGTAATTACTGCCAAATATTCAAATATTAGGGCACAGGAATAAATTTTTTTTTAGAGCGAAGAATCAATGGGCAAGGCTGTCAAAAATGTACGTGAGCTATACCGTTCATATGGTTTTCAATTCAAGGAACCATTTAACAAAGAAAAACGTACTTGAAATAAAAATTCACAGCGTTTAAACTTTTTAAAAAATGTTTATGTAATGAAAGTTTGGTATTACAATAATTTTTTGTAAAGAAAGGGCTTCTTTAATTGAAACTGACCGGATTATACCCGGCCAAGTATATTTCACTTTCAAACAGACGTATTTCATTTCATGATGGCATAAATTTTATGGAAAGATGATGAAGAGGAAATGTATCTGTAATGTCTGGGTTTTAGTTTTTTTGGAGAATTGTGAAGTTAAATTACCCCAAATATTGTTTGATAAAAGCTTAGGCTAGTTTCAGGAAGACCGCAATCTCTAATTTGTGTCTCAAATTTACACATCAACTAGCTATCTTCGCTCTCCATATAGCGGTTTCTCGCTAAAATATTTATTATAGAAATCAGTCTGGTAAGCTTAAATACAACAAGGTTTTCTGAGATTAAAAGTCATACAAGATGGATGATTGGAACTATATCCACTTTAACCTACCTTAGACTTGGCAAGATCTTTTTCCGTAGTTCTTCACGAGCCTTCCAACTAAATCTGCTGCAAGACTTGCTGTTGTTTCTTGTTTGGTAAGAAACTGCACTAAGATGTTGAACTGAAGAATTAAGCGCTTCTCGAGAAATATTTCCTGGAAAATGAAGTGCTCCAGGAAAATTTGGTCGTCTAAAACGCTGAGCAATGTCTTTCATCTTTCGGTCAGTTGGCGAGTTGGGTAACTTTTCCATATACTGCTCTCCACTACCTCTGATTACTTTTTCAATCTCAGATGCCTTTACCAGCATAATATTCGAATTTGACATACTGTTGTAGCCAACATTTAAAGAAAGCAAAATTTTCCTTTCTTCGATCGTCGGAGCTCTGCGCCATAGTGAAGGGAATTTCTTGTAGAGAGCTCCTTTCATGAAACCCATTCGATGGCCAACTTCGCTTCCAATCATATAGAACTCGCCGCCTTCTTGTAATTGAAAAATCGCCGGATTCCTACTTTTCACTTGAAGAGTTTCGTTCGCCATATGGATAAAAGAAGGTGTTATTTGTAGAGCGAACAATTTTAGTCCTTCACCTGCTAACAGAACTAGCTCACCACAGTACTGTTACATGGCAGCTCTTTTGACTACGTAGTGGGGAGTAAGCCATTCTAGTGCACCGTGGGAAAACGTCAAAAATCAGTAGCCAGATTAATATTGCCCAATCACAAGACACCAAACTACTTTTAAATGGCTCCAAACTCCAGAGAGGAAAAGACAGTAAAGGACAAAAAAAAACAACAACAACAACACTAAAAAACCAAAATAAAACACAAAAACAGAAGAAAAACAAGCACTGTTACATTATTTTTATTGGGAATCTTTTAATATGGCAGAATTTATAGGAAAATTTATCTAACAAAATTCAAATTCAACCGGCTCCAAAGATCTAAGGAAGAATCTAGTCCAATACGTCAAGAGCCAGATATAGGATAGAAGATAGAACGGTTTATGAGTTTATGTGCGTTTATGAACTTTTCCTCTTCTGTTATTCTCATAAATTTTTTGTCTCTAACCTTGTATTTCAGCTGTCTTTTTAGAGTTAGCCCAGAAACTTACGACCAGGATCTAAGCAAAGAGCGCGCGCTGGAATACATTACCTTTGTATGCCTACACGTCATAAAAGCGAAGCGTTCCACGAATGTGTTTTCAGTGTGCGAGCGTCTCTTTAAAATGCAAAGATCAATCGAATTTAGCAGCTCTACAAATGGTATTTGAGGCTCTAATTTTCAAAATTTAGCTTTTAATGACATTGCGGGGCTCGAAATGAAGATTTCAGCCATGAGTACTAGAGCCAAACGACCTTTGAACGGTGTCCGAGATTCAGGTTTTGTGGGACTTCGTTCGTCTATGACTTTGGATGAGGTAGATTGCGAAAGAAGAGGATATAAGCTTACAAAAACAGTTCTAGGCACAGGAGCTTATGCCAAAGTGAAGCTTGCCTATGTGATGGAAAGTAAAGTGGAGAGGGACAAAAGACTGGCCAGTGATCTCGAAGAAAAAGGACATAATATGGTAGGAAAAGTAGCCTTTAGTTATTCAAACGCAGGAGTCTAGTCTAACTTGACCGACGTTGATGTAGTTTTGAAGATTTTTAATTTTGCTTTCGTCGCGCTGCGCCACTTCATGATATCGTAACTTTAGTGGACCAACGCGATTCCTCGGGGGAGTAAAACACAACAGCACTGGGTAGTTTTTGGCGTTAACTGGTGGTTTCGTCCTGTTGCAAGTTCGCCCCTCTTCTTTGTGAGTTCGCGTCCCTAAGTAAAACAAGTTCAGCCCTATCTTTTCCCACTCGCCCCCAAATCTTTCAACTCGTTTCCTTAAGGCAGAAAATGTTCCTTTTCTATTTCCTAATGTTTTTTGTCACTTTGGTAGGTTGCGATTAAAGTTGTTTGTAAGAAAAAGGCGCCTCCAGAATATCTGTCCAAGTTCATGCCTCGAGAAATCGACTCCCTAAACTCAACCTGCAGACATCACAATGTGGTAAGGAGAATTATCTACTTCAACAAAGATTGTCCTTAAACTTAACTGACCGAGACACTTCTCTGTTATTTTCTTTAACTCCTAGAAGTGATTAACACGTAACTTATCCCTATGACATCCATACACTATCCAGCGAGAATACTAAAATTCCCCAGGTATAATTTTCTATCTTGATGTAACATCAAATTCTCATAACTAATTTGCGAGGAAATGTGTAGCAGCTACAGGGGAGAATTAACAATCAGATCTTGGGAGTTAAAGGGTTGAAAAACCTCAAGTAACAAACTAATAGGGATGTGCCGCTGGATAGGGTGGCATTTTCACGACTGAATTGATTATCATGGGGTTGCATTTTCAATAGAGTTACCACAATGGTGTCGCACATTTTCTGGGTAAGAAAATTATGTCAAGTAGGGATTTAAAAATGGGAAGATTCGCGGTTAAAAAGTTTTAACTGTATTACCAAAAGTGGTCTACATAATTGGACAAAACCTAGACCATAAAAAGGTGAGAGTTTTGAGAGGCCAGCAACAATTGACCCTAGCAAACCCCTGCCCCCGCCCTCTCAAAGGAAGATGGGATAATCGCAGGATCTCATTTATCTCGTCCAATGAATTTTGATCCCAAGATTCAACTTTACGAAACGTTCCACACGGAATCAAAGATTTATCTCGTCATGGAGTATGCTTCAAGAGGAGACTTGCTGGATTTTATTAACTCGCGATCCAGAAGAGGGGTAGGAATTGGAGAGGAACTGGCAAAAAATCTGTTTAGACAGATTGTTGAAGGAGTTGCACACTGTCATCGGAGAAACGTTGTACACAGGTTAGATGAAGAATTGTTTTAAAGAACACCGAGTCTCCATTTGTTGTTGTTTTCATTATTACTTTCATGAAGTTATTAGTTGTAGCATTCTGTATTTATTTCTCATACCACATGAAATAAACATTTGTGTAACGTCATTGTATATTCCGTTTCTAGCATTCGGGTTGCGCCGGATTGGGCTGTTTTATAAAAGTTTGAAGATACGAGTGACAGCGAGAAGGCCTTGTTTTTACGCAATGAAAAAAGAAGTTGTGATTAATTGATTGTAATACTTCGCTGTTGCAGGGATCTCAAATGCGAGAACATTTTACTTGATCAAGATAACATTGTTAAAGTATCAGGTACGCGTAATGAACGTTAAAGAATGCAGATTATAATTGCACCGTCACATGAGCCTGCGTTGTGTTCTAAGGGGAGATTGCGCTCCTTTATCCTAGAGGGCATCCGATAAAACCACGCTTAGCCTGATAAAAAAATAGATGGATCATGCAGGGTCGAACATGAAAATGATATTACATTGCGGGTTGTAACTCCTATGCAATTTACGTTTTGTCTACTGAGACTGGGAGCGTCGTTCTAAGCAGTCCAAAGTTCCCTGGTGTATATTTGGTTACATCGTGTCAACGCCAAACACGGCGAAACGACATTAAGCCCACTAGTTTTGCTATACTTCGCTCGCGCAGTGCATCCTCTCAACTCTATCAAATGCAAAACTAGAACCAATCACCACCACTTGTTTTAACTTGGAGTTCTCATTCGCTCCTCGTAAAAGTTACCTTTGCTCTGATTGGCTTTGGTGATTGTTTTGGCTTTCATTTCACGCCACTCAATCACTGCGCACTCCAAGCTAATGGGTGCGTGCCGGTAGTCAAAAGCCTCCCTCTGATAACTTGTGTATGAATCAGCTACAATTTGTTGTAAAATGTCGTGGAATTTGGTGCAAGTGTCGTGTAACTTGATCGTTTTTTGACAGATTTTGGATTTGCCACTCGCTATCCCACGAACAAGTGCAAACTGCTTTCTACTTTCTGTGGATCATACGCATATGCTGCCCCAGAAATACTGCAGGCGCAGAAATACGACGGAAAATGTGCAGATGTGTGGAGCATGTAAGTGTAGCAAGGAAAACTATTATGGTTAGGAAAGTAAGAAGGAGATGGAGGAGAACGAAACTAGATGAAGTGAGACCTCCTCACTGTTCCATTGCTTTCATCAACCTCTAACATACATTTGTAGTCTACAGTCAGCTGAATGACAGCTTACTTTCGAGGCGATTTCTCTCGTCATATCGTTTGCTCAAGGTCATGCAAGAGAGGGTCTGACGGTAAAGTCAGTGCCCTTAATGGGGTTCAGGCCCCAATTTTTCGAAGGGTGGATAATGGCATCTCTATCCACTTATTTGCTGGATAGCGATTTATCGCGTAGGATAGCGTCATTTGCCCTTCAACAACGGGGACGAGGTTGACTGGTATGGTAAGTTTTACATGTTAACTCTCGGTGTCATAGCATTTGTGTATGCCACCAGGAACAATTCTCTTAAGGACTACCGTTATCCAGACGATTTGATAAGATAAATACGGCACAAAGTCAACTCTTCTTTGCTTAGGTCACTTCAATCTATCGTTTGTTTCTTTACAGGGGTGTTATTTTGTTTGCCATGGTATGCGGTCGGTTGCCATTTAATGACAAGAGCCTTCACTCACTGATCGTTCAGACGAAAATGAAATTAGCATTTCCTAGCAGAGCCACGTGCTCAGCAGGTAAAGAATACATGAATATCTAACAAAAGTCAAATAAACTCATACTATGACTGACGCAGACAAGGTAGCAAGAACGATTGCTGCATGTGTGCTAAAACCGCCCGTTGAAAGGAGGCGCGCTTAAGGGTGGTGCTTGCTCACGTTTCAAACTTGTTTCCAAGTAGGATAACTTTAAAGTCAAAGTTATTCTTTTTTCTTCTAGAATGTCAGCATATTATTCGCAGCATTCTTGCGTGGGACCCCCGAAAGAGGACCACCATTCCTCAGCTTTTAACCCACGTTTGGCTTTCTGGTGAAATAACCAAGGTGAGTGGGAAGGACGGATGACGTTGAGAGCTCTTACCACACCGCACAAAGAAAAAAAACTGAACATAAATCGACGTTCAGATAGACCCATGTGGGTTGTAAAATGACTGGAAATCAGGCGTTCGTTTTCATTACCTCTTTCTGCTTTGTTGTTTTTGTTGAATGACAAAAATGAAGAGGTTTGACAACTGGGAGGGTATCATCCCACACGTCCGCCACGAGCACCCTTGGTATTCACCACGTACCTCTAGCTTCCAGTATTTGCTCTGATTACATTAGATTGGCGCGAACGACAGACCGGAGACAGACTGGTCGTCTTATTTTGCTTGTACGGTAACTAACTGCCATTGAGCTGCAATATCAACTCGATACCTCATCTTGCAAAGATGAAACTTAGAATCAAAGTTCTAGCACCTTTAAAAGTCAACTCTCTTCCTCGATTGCCCACGCTATAGCCAGTTTCAGGCCCTCAGTTTTTTTGTAAGGACGAGCGAAAAAACGAGGCGAACTTCCGTAAAAAAGATAGAAATTGAGGACCTAGGAGGACCCCGGAGAGGAAAGAAAGGAGTCCTCACCCTTCCTCAGATTCAGCCCTTTTAACCCTTTAACTGACTGACTTATAACTTCTCCTTAGAGTATCACCCTTGAATAAAGTGTACGGGTCATGAGAATAAAGGAAGTGATCACCAAGCTCCTGATTGCCAAACAAATTCTCCTTGTTAGTACTAAAGGAAATGTTGAGAGGCCAGTGTGGGGAAATGACTACCACTGTTAAAGTGTAGAGGGTTATTAAACTATCTCCACTTATCGATAATCTGGCACAGAAAAGTTACACTAATAAAAGTTCTTTCGAACTTATTGTAAACAAAATGATTGTTGTTGTAATTTATCTGCTCAAAAGGTATCATCTGTCAACGCTCAAAGCACAAAAGAAAAAAACCCCCTTACTTTGACCTCAATTCAAAGGGAGATCGAACGCGTTCTTGAGAAACAAAAAGGATCTCAACCAGAGAGGCTGACTCCTGCGAAGCAGACAGAGGTGTACAGCGCACCAAAAACACCAGGTAAATAATATCAGGGGGTGTGAATTAAAACAACTCTTTGGCAAATAATAAACAAAGGTATCGTCATACAGAAGGAGTGGTAAGCCATAAGAGAGATGGTTGAAATATTTTAATGATAAGATATTCTATCAGTGACAAACACGACGTCTGTCGGTGACGAGGATCATTCGAAGATTTCCGAACATTTCCGATAATGACACGAACTAATTGGCCGTTGTCATCACGTAGATTTTTGTTCTCCTCTCCTGCAACGCTCAATCGAAATTGCATCTACGTAATTCTCAGTGCTCTCTACACAAACTTTCCATATCTGTCACCTTTGCTTTTTAGTTCCAAAACATGGATGGTCTTCCTCACGTAACACACCTGAGCCCTACACTGCCGCAAAGCTCCTGCACAAAAGGGACTACAGACTCCCCACGAAGTCCCCTGCGCCAGAGGCCATTATAATAGACAGCCCTGGAGGAGAAACGCCGAGTATGGACCCGCCCAGAAGCTCCACGCCTTGTCCTCGAAGCTTCACACCATCGCCTCAACCAAAAATGCCCAAAAAGCCAGAACTAGCTGTAAAAGTAGCTCAATTACTCACGGAGTCTGGATACCAGACCAGATCAACCAACCTCAGCCGTGAAACGTACGCGATTATGAATAAGGCGCTGCATGCTTCTCAACGGAGCGCGCAGACCAGGAACGAGACCCGGAGCAACACACAACGAGTATGGAAGTACGTTACAAATTCATCTTCTAACAAAAGAAGGAGTGTCACGCCACTTGAAGGTAGGGTAGTAGTATTTAAGGATATGATCACATCAAAGATTTCTTTTCTTAAATTCGTTTTTCTGCTTCCAGGTTCAATCAGTCAGCCCCTAAAATTGACCAGCTAGTTAACTAGTCAGTAAGTCCTTCTGTTAGTCAGAAATTCAGTCAGTCAACCGTTCAGTCGACCAGCCAGTCAGTCGATGATCAGTCAGTAAGTCAGTCAGCTAAGCTGTCAGTGAGTCAGTCAGTCGGTGATTCAGTCAGTCAGTGAGCCAGTCAGTTGGTGAGCTGGTCAGTCAGTCAGTCAGTCAATCAGTGAGCCGGTCAGTCAGTGAGCCAATGAGTGAGTGAGCGAGTCAGTCAGCGAGTCAGTGAGTTAGTCAGTGAGCCTGTCAGTCAGTGAGCCTGTCAGTCAGTGAGCCAGTCAGTCAATGAGCCAGTCAGTCAGTGGTTAAATCAGTTAGTGAGTCAGTCAGTCAGTCAGTCAGTCAGTCAGTGGGCCAGTTAGTCAGTCAGTTAGTGAGCCAACCAGTCAGTCAGTGGGTCAGTCAGTCAGTCAGCCAGTCAGTTAGTGAGTCAGTGAGTCAGTCAATCAGTCAGTCAGTTAGCGAGCCAGCCTGTTAGTCAGTAAGTCAGTCAGTCGATTAGTCAGTCTGTCGATCAGCCAGTCAGTAAGTCATTCAGTTAGACAGTCAGTCATTCCGTCAGTGTTACTTTGTGATATAGTGTATGTCGCATTTCTTGTATAGTCTCGGATGTAACTCCGTCACCTAAGTCCAGGAACCAAACCGCAGCAAATACAAACTTAACTTCTGTGTGTCTGAACACTGTCGCTCCTGATCCACCCGCGAAGGAAAGGCTAACTAAAACCGTGTTGCCCTGGCGCCAAATGAACCTCTTTCAGAGAGACCCAGCGCGCAGTCCTCTGATGGAGTCCAACCAAACCAGGGGGATGTCTTCCACGCAAGCGCAAACGACCACTAGACAAGAAAGTGCAAGAACATCCAGAAGCAAAGAGGCCCAAGTAACTAAAACCTGCAAACCTTATTTGATGAACCTTGCTATTCCAAACCACTCTAATGCGAGTGCAAGAGTTTTACGCATTCCTGCTTCAACAAAGGACTCCGTAAGACATCCAAAGACAAAACAGAAAAACTCCAGAAATGGCTCAGTTCTGAACCGGTTTAATGACCAAAACGGCAGGGAAAGAGTGAACAGTGGTTCACCTAGAAACGTATCTTCAACGAGAGGCTCGCAACATGGCTGCACTCCAGATAGCACGAACAAAAAACGAGTGAGATTTCTACAAGACTCGCGCCAAAACTAAGACACAATCGTAGTTAGGTGTGGCTCTTATTCCGAGAGGACGAAACATGACCCTCTGTGCAGTTTGCTCGTGTCTGTTGCGTCCTAAGCATTCAGGTTGAAATTACCGAATTTATATAGTTATCATTTGTAATTAGTACTTGTAAGATTGCATGAAGATTTACTCAATAAATAAATGTATTTGGTGCGTCTATTAACATCGTAATATTTGTAACCCTAATCTTATACCTAAATGTCTTCAACCCAAATAGACATTACAGCAAAAGTGCACGATTCTGCATACAGTCGATCAAGAGATCAAAGTGACCTCTTTTGGTAGCTCGAGTAAAATTAAAAAAACTTAAACAATCAATCCAGATTATTCGTTTCAAAAACTGACTCAAATAAACAAAGGGAGGCCAATTACAACAAAAACTTGATATGGAAATTTTTCCACTCGATAATCAGAGCTGTCAATTTGAGAATTATCAGAAGAAATTAACATCCCGCTTTTCAATTGCACAATATTCAAAACCGCATTAGGTGAGCGAAAAACAGCAGAGGTTGGCATCAACACCAGAGATCATTTATTGAGAGGGGAAGCGGGTGGGAGGATTTTATGGGGGGGGGGAGGATCACACGGTTTAAGGGGGAACTCGAGGGAATCTGTCGTTTCCAACAAAGTATAAAGGGGGGGGAACTATAGAAAATCGGCTAGTAATTGGTTCCCAGCATAAAAAGAGGGGTTTGGAGATAAATCGAATACAGAAGAACACAATAATGATAACAGAGCGGTTCACTGTCAAAATACTCCTTTATTCTTTACCTCTATTGATAAAACTAAGTTGTACGAGACCATAAATCTTTCAACGATTTCATTTACACTCTTCGGAACGAACGATCAACTGACTGTATTTTAACGTGCATTGTAAGATTTGAAACGTTGCATCACAGGTTCTAAAATAATTAAAAACTTAACAACGACAAAAACAACAAAAAAAACAAAAAAGCAAATTAAGTCCACCACCTCAGTTGAAACATTTAACTACAAAAATGAGGTAATTAAATGAAGCAAATTTTTACAACAAATTCAAAATTAAGTGACAATAATCGATTGATCCCTACGCCACAGGCACTTCCCACGAAATAATACCAAGAATCTGGTCAGACTTTAAAATTACTCTGTTTCCAACCTTCCTGGTCTATCTCATGCACGCAGCGTGTCTAAGGGTTACTACCGTGGAGAAGAGATCTCGACTAAACACTCATTTTTGGCAACAAAACAACAACAAAAATTACCATAGTAAAGAAACCACACCAAAACCGGATTTAAAAATCTTCGTGTCCTCCTACAAAGAGATATTTACATTCCCCGAAAGTTAAGTAGGATTCCTGGAGATTAATTAAATCTGTGAATGAACCTACACGCATACACAGCCAAACATTTTGAGTGTATACTCGTAGAACAAGATCGTTTGGCCAATAAATATGTTGAACTTCTAAAATTTACTCTTGAGTGTATGAATAGGGAACGTAGAATTTCCGTAGAATATAATTTAATTCCACGTAATGATGTTACCAATTCATCTTAATCATCTTAATAATATTACTATTACTTTTATGACATTCTGTCAATTAAATTACACATTCTACTGTACAAGTGACATGACACAGACAAAATAAGGGGAGGAATCTAATTGGATCGTTGACCTGTCATTCATCCTCGTAATGTCCAATCTGTAGAAGCCACACGGAGGAAACCCATTTTCACGTGCAACATGGCAGATTTCCTATCATCACATTTTAATGAAAAATGGACATATCTTAAAATGATGCATTAACTGTTTAGAATGTCGGTAAGAAAAAAACCATAAAGAGGAATTGATCGTTAACACGAAAGGGCATATTTCAGAAACGAAATCTTGGACGGTCTCAATAACGTACTCCTTCACCCTGCAAACCACCTTAGAGTCCAGCCCTTCAGCAACTCACGCGGGAACGAGGCTACGAGACAGTCCGTTTTGAAAATGTGAATAGCGATCTTAAGTTAAATCTCCTTTTGGAAGTACGATCGACTGCAACGAGGGAAAGTAATGATATAACTAAGTTATCAAGTACTTTCTGGAGTACCATCATAACAAACTAGGTCGTCTACTGTTGCCACTGTTCCAATACCACCGTTTTGGTTGGGGAAAAGCCGTCATTCTTCGCCTCCTGGCGTTAACCTCGTGTTCCTTTGCAGCTGATTTCATTTGCCTCTGCACTTGGTCATCTATTAGTGATGCCATGTCAAACTGAGGAAAAGAAGATGAATATTTGATTATTTTCCTCTCTGTGGGGAGCCCATGGTTTATCCAATAAGTATCATATCGCATTTCTATTCAAATAACAGAAAATGTTAGAACGAACCAATGAGACTGCAAAGTACAATTCGAGCTCAGGAAGAGACCGCGGTGACAGGGGAAGGGGAGGGAGGTGACCAAGTCACGATTGGTTTATGTTTTAAATACGATTGGTTAAAAAGACAGGCGCAAATATTCTGAACCAATCAGAAAACGAAGTAAAGCAAAACCACAGAATTTCCGGATTTGTTTTGCCACTCAATTGAAAATTTCTCCATTATCTTTCCCCCTCATATTAAATTGTTAATATTATTTTGTAAATCTAGAGAGCACACAATTAAGATTCTTGAGGTCGTTGTTGTTGTCTCATTTCGAGGGACATAACTCTCTGATGAGCTGGTCATGTTCTACTTTCATATTTGACAATCGTCCTTCAAACTGCTTGATTTCAGTTACACATGTTTTTCGTTCACTTAGTCGCTCACGTTGAGTGCATACAGTTTTAGACATTTTACTGTCCTCCATCAAAAATCTAGGCTATTTGATCTTCTGAAGTTCAAGGAGTATCATAAGTTCTTTCCTTTCTGTCTACATTAACGAAAATAAAACGTCTGCACTTGCCTGCCATTCTTCAAGTTGTTTCGAAAGACTAATCTTCTGCTCAATTGCCTCTTTGAGCTGTTTGTCAAGTTCTTCTCGATCTTCTTTGGACCGCATTAATTCCGAAGCCAGTCTCTTCGCCCTAGAGCAGATACAAGAAAGTCTTAAGAGTCTTAATTTTCATATGTATTAAAAGAAGAGACCATAAAGATACGTTTCATCATCATGCAATGCCTATCGGATGTATATTTTAGTCTGCTTTCCAACTCTAAAAATTGCTTGTATGTTTTCCCATCTCAGGCACACCTGGAGCGTGCTTGTCTCGCCTTCTGATTGGCTCGTTTACGCCGATGGGTACAGCAATTTTCAACTGAACTTCCGAACGTTCTGTGATCTGTCTGGAAAACTCGCGCCACACCCTCTCAACCAATCGGCTAAAGCCAATCGTGAGTTGGTCACGTGTTTATTACTCGAGATCTTATTGGCTTCTTGTTATGTTGACCCTTGTTCCGATAGGCCATTGTGACTTCTCTGGTTTTGGTTTTAAGACACCGAACACAAATAGCTTTGTTGTTACGAAGTAGAAGACAATAACTTGGCGCTAGGATGTAACAACGTTCAGATGGAAGTTTTACCTTTCCTCTGCGTTTATCTTCTCTAGAACAGCTTCGTTATACATGATATCATGCGCCAACTGTTCTTCGCATTCCCCCCTGGCTAATTTGTTCCGTTGTTCTTTAACATTGGCAATTTCCTGGTCTTTTTCATTCAATGTCTCCTTCAAGCTAGCAATTTCTTTTTCTCTCTTCTTCAATTCAGATTTCGTCACCTCGAGATCTTGTTCCAGGCTGTTGATGCTTTCATGGGCTTTACATAGCTGTTGTCTGAAATCCTAAAAAAGTATCAAGAAATTATAAGACATCGACTTTGAACTTAAAGCACTCCTGATTAATGCCTTGAACTAGAGAATTATGCACTTATGATCAAGCTTGAATTTTTCCCAACATAATTCACCTGCCCTGATAACGGCTTTAGTTCTACCTTCATAAATAGAACGATTTTGTAACCACTGCAGCTAGTGCCAGTCCTGCTCCCTATCTGGCCATACTTTTAAATTTGTGCCTTCTGCTAGACAGGTCCACAAACCCTTGCCGAAAAAGGGGCTTACCGTAGTTTTCGTACTGTTATCGCTGACCATTTCTTCTAAAACCTCTCTAAAACTCTTCACGAAAGTCGTGAGGCAACCAGGTTTAAAACCTGAATTGGGCTCCAAACCATCCACCTCAATCGTATCCAAGCTCTCGTGGGAACTTCGAAGCTCTTCGTAGAGGGCTCGCAATTCCTCGTGCGCTTCGCAAATCTCCCTTTTTAGCTGAAAAGGAAAATGAGAACAGAAACGTTAATGACACAAGTAACTAATGACAAATCATAACAAGAGGAGCTAACGAATCCTTCTTTCTCTGTTTCGCAAAATTCCACCACATGTGAGTAATAATTAATTCTCACAACGACTTTTCAAGGCAATGAACGCAAATCAGAGGGGAGACTTAACATCTCGATCCTCACATAAGTGTTACCTGAGAGTTGGCTTTCTCTTCTTCTTCGAGCTGAGCATAAAAATCTCTATTTCTTGTCACTACGTCACCCTCGATTTCCTCCTCATCATATTCCAGATCACTGTCATCTGACTCACTACTGCTGACACTGCTGTAAGGCCGATGGCGCTTCTTAGAGCTCTGTCCCAGGCCTACTGACGAAGACGCTTGTAACGGCTTCGGAATACCATGAAGACTGGAAACGGGTCTTGGCCCGGTTCCCATCTAAGAAAAGAATATCGATATCAGACGAAAACTTCAAGCTTTCTCGCTCGTCGAATCACGAATCACGTGAATCACGCTTGAACCGCTTAGCACATTTTTATCTAATTAATAATTTTGCAGAGCTTGCGTGACATTTTAACTGGAAGTTCTTAATGCGCAGATGACCTGGTAAGTCGGTTGAGGGGTGGGGTATGGTGTGGTGTGGTGGGGTGGGTTGGGGAAGAAATCTTTATGGTGTCGGCAGTATCCGGTTTGGCTTCCCACGAGGACCTTGTTTGATCTAGTCATGCAACACGCTCACTCTCTCCGTTGTGTGACGAGACCATTCAACAGTTGATTATGAACTTCAACAGCGTTTCAGAGAGCACAATCCCCTTAGGTGACACAACAGACAAGAGAAGTGATAACGTGCAAAGGTTATCATGAAAGCGTTGTGTGACGACCCGATAGACAACTGCTACTGAGGGGACTGGGCTTTGGGTCCTAACTCACCGTTCTTGGCCCAGTCGCTTCAATAACTTTGTGGTGATCACCGTCATCTATATCTGTCACGGACAGATCGGAAAGCTCGGAAAATAGCGACGTCCTGGACAAATGATCCACTGATGCCTGCGGATAAGACTCAGAAATAAGAATTCGAGGATAAAGAAATACTAATGATAATTAAAAAATCTCTTTGATTCACGAAATGCCCGTGCCCACCACGCAACATTCTTCCTCTGAGGACAAATTGCACAGCCTGCACTCAGACGACTGGGCTCTGTCCATCTGGATAAACTTTACCTTTATTCAAAATACCATTGGTAATGGATGGAAAATTTTTACTCCGCTTTGCATTCCCTCTCCAGCTGGGAGAGCGTATACCCTATTCCCACCTCTCACAATGAAGTTTTTTCAGTAGAAATATTTGTATTACCTGCATCTTAATTTCCTCAATCTGCTCTTGAAGGAATGCATTGAGGTCTTTGGACTCATTGAGTTCTTCTTCACAATTTGCAAGCTGAGAAGAGTAAAAATAAATGAATTCAGAATATAGACAAAACTTCCGGTTGACACGATACGCCCACACGGGTCTCCCTTGAGGTCTTACTGAGTCCCACAGAGTCGGAATTCCTATTTTCAAGCAAGTAAGAGCAGAACGTTTCCCATCAAAGAAAGCAACTGGAGCCTTGACCTTTACAACCTCACAGAAATTTGCCTAAATATCTTTCCAAAATTTTTTAAAAACATTCTCTAAATATAAGAATTTCCTCAAAAATTCCCTTTTTATTATAAAATAAACCAATCGTGAATAACTTTTGGTGTCAAAATAAGGGTTTCACAACACATTATCTTCTATGTTGAATATTTATGTACAATGTTTTGCAAAATGTACTCAGTTCAAACATAATTCTAACCTGACTCTTGCTTGAAGTCAGTTTCTTCTCTAAAGAAAGATTTCTTGCTGTCAGCTCCTCCACTTCTTTGGTGAGATTTTCTTTACTTGTTTCAAGATCAGCCATGGTTTTTGTTAGGCTTGCATTCTCCTCCTCTAGCCTGGTGAGCTGTAGAGAACAAATAAAGGATACAAACTGTTATTAAACACTCATCCCTTCATTGCTGGTGCACTGAGTAAATCATAAATTTCCTGTACTACTGCCTCACAAAACCACCTAAGGTCAACTATACTTAAGTCTTAAAATCACCCAACAATGCGCATATTCTCCTTACTGTTCTCTATACATTTTCTATGGTGCTGACAAGGAGAATTTGTTGAATAATCAATAGCTTCTTTAATTGGTAATCATTTCCTTTATTCTCATAACCTTGATGTGTGGTTCAGGGGCAAATATCATAAGGAGAAACGAAATGCTGGTTATTCTTTGGGTTCAAAGGGGTAAAGAGGTTCTATCTGGTAAGAGAACTGTTAAACATCAGTTACCTTCTTCCAGAGTTCACCAATTTCGTCTTCCTGATCATCATCAAAGCTGATTTTTCTGCTGACTTGTTTTCTGAGAAGGACAACATCTCTTCGAAGCTGTTCATTCTCCCCCTTTGCCTGAAAATAATAAATATTAATATGAAGCTGTACAATAGTTGTAAAATTTTCAATCTAAAGTAGTAGTAGAATCAACAAAAATTGAAATTGGAGGCTTTTTTATCATCATCAGCCACATCCATTTGGATGTGGATGATAATATTTCTTTTGTTTGTAAATATTTTGGGTTATAAAGTAGCCAACATTGTGAAATCTGAAAACAAAAAAATGAAGCCACAAAATACAAAACCAGAAATCTGAAGACAAAAGGTTTAAACCACAAAGTGCATTACCAAAAAATTTGGCAGGAGAAATCAATTTTCACCTTTGTCAGCTCAGTTTTAACATAGCTAATTAAAAATTTGACATTAATATTGCTCATTCAAAATTTTTTGGGTAACTTTTAGGTACCAATATATCCTCTATGAAGTTTATGTGGTTTTAAGATGTGAGATTGTCAATTTTTTGGTAGCTTTTAGGTACCACTATCTCCTCTATGAAGTTTATGTGATGTTAAGATGTGAAATTGTCAATAAGATAACCAGCCATTAACAAAGTAAAAGCCAAGCCACAAAACCTAGCCGAGATTCAAATGAAATTTAGTTCAAGGGGCTTGATTCACTGTTTTTCTTACATATAAATATATTTGTCACCAAAATATTTTAGTTAAGCACAACTCAGTTTTTTGTTTCTTTGTCATCTGTGTCATCTGTGTCTGATTCCTTCCTTCAACTCTCAACTCCCACCAACATGCCTACTTCGTTAATGGCTACAACTTCCCCAATGATTCTCATGAATGATTTAACACTGTTGAAGACACTTTTTTTTCTTCAAAATAACACATCTTTAAACAAAACCTTAACTACACAAATAGATTTCTTGATTTTCTGAATTTAATTTTTCAAAGCTGACATCATAATTCTTAGGAAGTACTAATTTACCTTCATAAACTACAAATGGGAACATGGTTTTACATCCATAAATATTCAATGATTTTAATGAGTGGTTTTTGAGGTAAATACAAATAATTCCCTTTGGCAAGCTTACTAGTACATCACATGTTTTGAACATCTTCAAGAAAGGTGGATGCAGATTTTAAGAAATTTTTTCAAGAGGCAAAAGTTGACTCATTTTGAATTTGAATATCATGTGGTCTGCATCATTTATATTTGACACAAATAGTGCTTCTTGTTTTGTTCCCATTCATATATCAGTAATGTTTCTCTCCGCACTTGTAAAACTTATCTGCCATGATCTACTGAAAGAGGGACAATTGAGAAAACTTAAAGTTTGCCAAAGTTTGATCAGTATGCTATTATAACTGTACATTTTCTGGTACGTCATACAGATTGTAGCAAAAATACAATCATTTACCTTTAAAATGTTATAAGTTTTCCTGATAAAAAATATTTACTCTAGTAGACAGCAGGTATTGAATGATTTGCATCACAAGTGAAATTTTACATCAAATTTCTCTCTGCTGATTTCTCGCACTGATTAAATGACAGAGAAAGTAAGTTAGGGTTGTTACTTTAGAACATCTTCTTGGTAGCTATGTGAATTGGATTTTTCTATCCTAAAAAATATCATAATCATTACTAAACACTGTATCACCAAAATTGTGAATTTCAAATTTGATCAATAGAATAATGCCCAAAGCTGAGGGATGATTAACGCTTCGCTGAACAAACAACTTTAAATCCCTTTCTATACACTTCAGAGGACAGCTGTGAAGGATTAAAATTTTAAATGATCTCACACCTGGGTCAGCTTGGAGGCTAAAAATAAAGCAGGTTATGAGATTAAAAGGATATGACTGAATTCATTCACCATGTGACACTTCAGACTAATTTTTTTTGGCAAATGAATAAAGGGGTAAGTTTCTAAAGAAACTGTGGTGCTGCGTCGGTGGGAGAGTATAACAGGTAATTTAGTGTTAACAACTGGGTTGAAAACGTAAATTAGCCACTGTAAAGGGTAAAAAAGCTGACGTTTCGAGTGTTAGCCCTTCGTCAGAGCGATTGAAAACGTCGAAACGCTCGAAACGTCAGCTTTTTTACCCTTTGCGCTAGCTAATTTACGTTTTCAACCCAGTTGTTAACACTAAATTACCTGTTAATTTTTTTTGGGACTAGGATAAGGTACTGAGGATACATGAGAAATTAATGCTTTCTGATTCACTGGAGTTGGACTTTGATGCCAGATAAGTTGGCACTTCTCTAGATATCCACTCCTCTATGACCATGTGATGTAGAAAACAGAAGCAAAGACTGACATATTGACTACAGTCTGACTTGGAACTTGCTCACTAACTTGGTCATCAAAGATAAACAAGGTGTGGTAATCAGACTATTGGTTGCTTGAATTGCGTTGAGTAATTCCAACTTGCTATTCTATTCAAACAATTATCTCAACAAGATATTGAACAAACTGAATTTTCAATTACAATGAATAGAAACCCAAAACTGTCTCATTTTCTGCGCGACCGAAAAAAATGAAGAGATGACTAAGTTTTCTTCCCATTGACCTTGAGATAGAGACATCATTAGGTTCAGCATAAATAGCTCAGAAACCCATTTCCTGAAGAGACAGATCATTACATAATGAAGTTGAGTACTCTCGTTTGCCTCTTTACATCAAAAAATTGTATTAGGTTGAAACCTGATATAGAACGTAACCTTACAGTTAGCCCTAACCAAGATATGCTCCAATCCAGAGTTGAGTAAAACAGCAAAGACAAGGAGAACCCACAAACACTTGTTATTTAGAGATACTATATCAGCTCTTCTTTATCACTTCATCATATCTTTTTGGAACTATTTTTACCTTAACTTTCTGAGAATATGGCAAAATTGTAAGCATTAATTATCCCAATGCAATTTATTTGTGTAATAGTTTTTTCCTTAAAATTCTGTCAACCTGTGTCATTCAAAATGCCTTAAAACCACAGAGGCAACATGTTGTCATTAAAATATGTCAGCGGTTTATTTGGTGACAAAATATCAAAATTATCTACATCATGATTGCGGAGACTGTTCAGACTGAAACAGTATAGTTAGAATTACAACCTGATGTAAGTTGATAAAAATACTCATTTGGCCCATGGCACCCAAGTATTTAATAACTTCAAGAAATTCAAAGTACTTTGTAACTCAGTCTACATTCAAGGCAGCTGAAACCTTCAATTTATGGCCATGGTTATGCAACTCATTCTAGAAAACAATCAGGTCAATATCATTTCTCCCGGCAACTGAAATAATGACAACAATTTTAAAATAATTCATGGAAAGTTCCATTGCTTTGATGTACATTTTCTAGAAATCTTTGTCCAAGTTATTGAAATTTTTCTTGCGTGACCTATTTAGCCTAAACTTACAAAACACAAGGGCACCCCGTGGTCAATTTTTCTCTGATAGACGCTTAATTTTGAAAAAAAACTTAATTTGCATTTATCCCAAATTCTGTCCATTTAATAAAATTTGCACTTTTCTCTCGCAGTTTTTCAATCTGGGGTATAAAATGAAATGACTAGAAAGTCTATTCTTGGTCATTACACAGTGGAAAAAAACAAATATTTGTACACTTTCTGACAACAGTTTTGAAGCGTATTGACCTAAGGCTAGTCAAGTACTTACCTACAGGGAGACAGTATTGTGAAGCATTACAACAAAAGATCTTTAGGCACATGGTTTATAAAAGTCTCTCAGCAGTATACACATCTTTTGTTTATGAAATAGACTTATTCAATTTTCTTTGTTGACAACGGCAAGCAGAGAGATTTCGCAATGAAAGATAGGCTGTTTTTTAGAAAACCCGACTATATTAGAAAAATCACGTATTGGCTCGCGAACCTTCCATTCTGAAGCCAATATTCAGTTTTCTTTACCACAAAACTAAGAATATATCGATGGTCGATCACTTCAAACTAAATAAAGCATAGTACAAAAGATCTGTTTTGGTACAAGTTCCGCGTATAATTCATGCGCTTGTGCGGACATTCACACCTAGATAATTTAGCGGAGTGAATTTTCGTGAATTCCCGCCTGTTAGTTGAAGTACCACTTCCATTCCTTAGATGTCATTTCCATTGTGATTCGCAATAACACATTTGACTGACACGCTGAAGACCTCGCTTCAGTAATTGTTCCCCAAGTTTATTTTGCCATTAGCTTGATTGTAACGTTGAAAAGACACGTAGCCCTGTTTTTTTCGTTCACTCTATAATGTCGATGAGGAAATATTGCCTGACATCAACGATCAAACGTAACAGCAAGGTTGCTTTCACCAGCTAAAGGCATGACGAATAAGCTATATTGTAGTTACCACGAATTTTTCGCTGAAGGTGTCAATGAAACCTCTCAGCGTCAAATCAGCGTTGACATGAAGCGAAATGACTCCGTCTCATAGTCTCAGTCAGACACCACTAGCGTGTAAGATAGTGTAAACGATTTCGACAAGGTGCAAATAGGATTTGCTGACAGTTAAATGTCCAAAATAATTTAGCCCGTAACGAAAACTTTCCCAGAAATTTCACGATGTACTCCACCGAAACCGAAAACAATTTAGTCCTAAAAATATTTTAAAGGCATTTTAAATTGTCTGGACAATCAAATGCGATCGGAGCTATCTTTTACGTGCACGTAGCTCGTCTTGTTTGAAACACGTTATTCAGTTAACGCTTCAGCCATTACCACTTCCCTGTGAACTGATTCCTTCTCGGATTACCTAAGCTGATCGGGTTTCAGTGGGCTAAAAGTAGTTTAAAACGTGAAATTTCCGGTATAAAATAAAACATTTGTTATGTACAAGGATTTCGGAACTAAATTTCATACAAGTTTCAATTCATTATGGAAATTCTAATCTTGGATGCATTCCTGTTTCAAAATTAAAAATAAACATAACTAACAAGGCAATCAGTTCACCTCCAACTCTCTTTCAGCCGAAGAAAAAAAATCTCGTCACGTAAAAAACAAGGAAATACTTACCTTTTGTAGATCCAGATGAAGTTGTTCATTCTCTTCCGTGAGACCAGCGAACGTTTCTCTCTTGTTTTGTTTGTCGTTGTTCGTGTCGGACTGGAGTGTTTTCAATTCATTTCGCAGCGTTCTCAAATCTGCTTGTAGTTCATGAACTCTCGAATCGCTCCCGTTTTGCAAACGTTCCACTTTGAGTTTAAGCTCGTATTTATCTTGTTCCAGTGCCTAAGAAAAAAACTCAGAGGTTAAAATTCCGTGATGACAAAAATCGAACGCGAACTTACCGCAACCTGCTCTCAACAAATTCATTCGCGCGTGTAAAACTAAAAGCGGATCTAGCAACAAAAAACAACAAAAACGTACTTCGACTGCTTGAGAATATTCCTCCTGTAATAATTCATACTTCTGGCTGAGCTCTTCGTTCTTCTCCAACAAAGCTTTCCCAAGCTCTGCAGCCAAGAGAAGGTCCTTTTCCTTTTGCGCTAACTGCCGATAGACATCATCCGCTCCGTCATCGTCTCCGGCGAAAATCTCTCCATCTTCGTCTGACGCATTACAATGGAAATCCCGCTCAAATCCGTCACAATCCTCTCCATTCACATCTTTATCACCGTGAAAATTTCCTTCACCAATTTCATATCCATTCATATCCAAAGAGTAAACGATTTCTGGTGGGATCTTCATTTGCTTCAATGCCAGCCGACCGCCATAATTTTCACGCATCAATAAGACCTCGCACATGACAAGAGAAGAACAGACGTAATGTTTTGCGTAAACGAACTGAACCGAATTTGCATGAACGTTCAATTGTTTTCCGCTGCCAGGAGGAACGTCAAAGTGACTTGGCAAACTGTTTTGTACTATAATGCAAATCCGCTCGATTTATATTCAGCTTATCGGCCAATCGCACGTTTTTTCCTCCCCGCGGGCCAATCAAAAAAACTTTGCGGAAGTAATGCATTAGACAGCCGAACGCGCCAACGTCATAGCAGGTTTTTAGCGCATACAAATTAATTGTTACAACTTCGATTTTTTCACGCTTGTCTCTTCTTACACTAACACTTTTGATAGAGGAAAATCTTAAAGTAGTAATCTTGATCCGCTTCTCGATAATCAAACAGTAAACAAAAAAATATCACTTCGTTCAAGCGGCAACTTTCAATATAGACGTACAACCGACAGCATGAATATCTTCACTTCATTTGAACCACAATGTATGAGTAAATGATAATATAGAACTGACAATTACAAAATACTAAGAAGAAAGGTAACACGATTCAACGCTTTCATAATTTTTTTTCGCAATCGGTCTAAAGAAAAATGCATAAATTGAAAAAAATTAAAGAATGACGTCATATGATTGACGGAACTACTCAATTCACCCGAGGGTCTAAAGCGAGTCAGAAGCGAGTCACGATCCATTTAGACAGGGGCAAATAAACGATATTTTTATGAATATTACTTACACATTTCAGGAAAAAGACTAAGCGATACTCTGAGAGTGCAAAATGTGAATTATCTGTTCAAAAAATATTGAAAACTTAGTTGATACTATGTAATGAACTTCAGCAACTACAACTTAAAAAAAAGAACAGGTTATAAACGTCGAAAATTATTAACTTTTAAAATCAGGGGATCAAACTTGCTTGAAAATAACTTTTGCTGTTGCCTTGAAACTTCCCGTTTCCCGACCATACCATTCCTCAGCAGTTCCTGTCAGTCATCAAGTAGAAAGTACAAATACAATTTTTCTGCCCGGATTAAGCCAGAGGGTCTTTTTCTCTTCTTTCCTTTTTTTTTTTTTTTTTTTGCAAGAAATTCATTTCTATTGAAAATTAATTATCAGTAAGCCCGCCTCGCTCGCACCGCGTAAATTTAAGAACTCCTCAGGAATCCTGCTGACTTCACTTATTACGCCTGTCAACGGTAAAGAGACATTATTTAAGAGAATAGAACATCAACCCTAAATTAAGGGCCATGTTTCATCGAGTAATAGCGATCTTATCAGTTTAACACTTCCACGTCAGAACGCTACTGACAAAAATAGCTGCAATGTAAATATCATGACTTCATGGAATTTTTGATAAGAAACTCTAAGTAAATAATACTTAGTCACTTATAGACCTGTGACGGAATCGGATGTTCAAACCTGTTCATTTGGTAACCAATGTAAGTGATGTGAATCATCGATGACTGCGTATATTTTTATCGAAATCATATCGAATATATCTCGGTGTAGCTGGGAAAAAGGACAGCTTAAGATTGTCGCGTTTTCTTTCGGGATATTTACAAAAGGAGTTGTTGTACTTGCAATGGAAACCAGATCATTGATAGTCACTGACCTTCGTGACATGGTAATCTCGGAAATTCCCATTTAGCTGACTTATTCCCACAACAAACAGGCCATAACGTATTAATTCAAGAGCAACTCTAACTCGAAAGCACGATCAAAAGTTCGAGAGCGCGAGGGAACTTTTTCTTTAATTATAGACGGGGATGATCAGTGGAAGTAAATATACAGAGAAAATGAGTTGAACAACAAAACGGGATTTCAAGTCAGAGACCTTGAGTAGAAATCAGTTTAAATTACGGTCTAGTTCTCCTATTACGGCAAATCCAAAACGAAGCTTTTAAAACGAAAACGCTCCTTCTGTCCTTGCCAAGTCAGTGCTGGTGTTTTCTCTCTCTGATAACTACTATTTTTTTTTTAAAGAGTACTCTACTGGCTGAAATTCATTTGTTATTGTTAGTTCTTTTTCCCTTAAATTTTCCAATTGTTGCGGTTTTCTAAAAACTTCAGCTTTAAATGCCTAGAGAATGAGGCCAAGTGAAAAAGAAAAGAACTTAATTTTTCATTTGGTAAATTTTCACCTCTCACCTTCAATCAGTAGAAGCTGTTACATAGCAGTTTCGAATTTGACGCAAATCCAACAGTTGCGTCAGATAACAGCTGATTACACCACGATCATCATAGCAGCTGATCACTCATCACAGTCGCAATAAACCCGATCACAGCCAATCACAGAAGCAGTTGAGAACGCGCAAACCATGTTAGAACGAGGGAAACAAGTCTTGCCCACAACGGGGGACAAGATTTTTAGCTGATGTTCAATAGTTTATAAATAAAGGAGCGAGTTTCTATGATCAGTCATCCTTTTAAAAATATACTTCTTATCTTAACCTGCATTCATCAACCTGTTGTTCAATAGTTTATAAATAAAGGAGCGAGTTTCTATCATCAGTCATGCTGTTAAAAATATACTTCTTACCTTAACCTGCACTTATCAACCCGTTGTTTCCTCTATTTCAGTTTAAAGTTTCAAAAGAAGCGTGATCAAGAAATTTATTCAAGCATAGCAGAGGTCAAACTCACAACAGGAAGATAAGTCGCAAAAAGCTATCCTAGCTCAACCCCCATGGGGCGTAAATGTAAGACATTTGTCGTGATTTTGATTAAGAGGTGTTCTTTCCCCCTCCCCTCCCCTCCCGTCTTATGTGCCTGACGCCGACCATAAAGAGAGAATGCCACACTTTGAGGGCCTTTCGGTCAAAATTTTTCAAGGTCTCAGAAAAGCGGAACAACGAAGCTAAGGTTGATCCGGAATGGAAGGTCGCATTCCTTTTGTATTAGGTCAATAAAACTGAAAGGGAAAGTGGAATGGAAGGCCGCATTCCGTTCGTATGATTATGTAAAAAAAAATGAAAATGCGATAGTATTTCTTGATTTCAACAAAGAAACGAAAGTAAGGTCAAGTAAGCTGACAAGAGATTATACTCTCTTGAGGCCGTGTAAGACCAGGTTTCACCCAGAGCCAAAAGAGACATGGACCACATTAAAATTTACTTTAGTTTTGATAACTTTCATAACCGAGGTACCATCCACATTAATTGCGTCTTCAAGAGTTTCTCGGCGGTTTCTTCTCAAATAAAACGAAATTAAATTATTTTTATCCGCCTCATTTTCATCTAATGTCCTCACCAGTATGCTCTTCACTGAATGTTTACATCTTTGTGCATTTTTCACCTACTTTAGTTCAAACTAAAACGCCCTTTAATGATGCTAATATCTACAGAAAGTTTCGTTTGTTATTGTTTGTCACCGAGTTTTCATCAGTCTACACTAAGAAATCTTTTGTTGAGTCTACGTTTTCATCAACGTTTTGGGTATATTTTTGGTCAGTCAAGAAAAAATGTATCAAAAAAGTAATTTCTGTTTCTTATGGAACTATGTGGTTGGCTCTAATGCAGGGAAATTTACTCCATAACAATGAAAACCCAATTCACGAGATGTTTGAAGGGGAAAAATCAAGAGAAAGATTTCAGTGGACTCCATTTTAACTGATGGAGAAGTCACTCTTTATTTGAGAATTGCCTGATGAACCCCTCCATTTGAGCTAATGGTTACTACAGAGACCTATGCCAGATGAGGTGATAAAATAATTAATACTCAAGCATTGTCACAGGAAGTTCCTTAAGGAGCAAACTTATTCTTCATAACCAATATAAGCAATATTTACTCCATACCTCAAAAAGAAATAAACAACAAATATCTGAGTTTAGTAACTTCCCTATATTTAATAAGCACAAAAATATCATTAAGTAATATTACCATTCTAATGATGTCTAGTGATGCCTTTTCCCTGACAAATGTAAAATTTCTCACACTAACTGAAATAAAAAGTTTCAAAAACTAATCCTAGTAGTGGCCTACAACCTCCACTCCCAGCCATCTTCTTTGCCATAACTTAATGTTTTCAGCAAGTCACATACAGTGCATATCAATTGATATTTCCTTTAGGTATAAGCATGGAAAAAGGAGTGATTTTCTTAGAAGCCAACATCAGCTTGCCATTCAATTTCATAAACCTAACTTCTACCACTCCAACCTTTCATGTCTATAAAGTGAATCCAAGAATTAAAAATGTTAGAAAACAGTGAAATAGAAGATTGAAAAAAATGAACAATTTCATTCATGAACCAACTTAAACTTGCATCAAAACCTGGAATACTTAGGAATCTGTCGACTGTTCTTAACAGTGTACAGAAGTAATATTGACATCAAAAAGAAGGATGGTGTTACTATCTTTCATCATGGAGAGGGCCAGGAAGATATGAACAATTACACATTTACTTGAAATTTCACTCATCCCTGACTTCTTTAAAGATGTAAATTTTCTCTGACTCAAAGTGTAATTCTTTGCCTTTCCCAACCTGTAGCAACCATAGTAATCAGAGTGAAGACTTTATCCAGGCCCCTTCTCACTTTCATAGACAAAATGTGTTGCCTTCAACCTTTGCTCAGAACGTTTATCACTCACTGACCAAAAATGCATATAGGAAAGCTATAAGATTGGGGAAAAACTAATGCACCATAAACCTTCAAACTAGATCATTCTACAGGCAAAAAAACTGTCATATAACCCTTAAACATTTGTTTAGTTACTGTTTCCAGCTACAGTCTGTTTTAGCTTTAATTTGCTTAAAATCTATGAACTCATAGGTCATGCTGAACAATTCAGTGTGTAATAGGAAAGTTAACATTATTGTGAAAATAGAAAGAAGCTCATTTGTCCACTAATGACATTTAACCATTTGACCCCTAAGAGTGACTAATATCTAATTTCTCCTTACAATATCATGCCTGAATCAAACATAAAGGTTACAGGAATAAAGGAAATGATCACCAACAAGAGGCTTTTGATTGCCAAACAAATTCTCCTTATCGACGCCTAAGAAAATGTATAGAGAACGGTATGGAGAATATGAATACTGATCTTAGGCTGAAAGGGGTTAAAGCAAAAGATTTATATCCTAATAACGATACTTGGTGGAATAA